TCTGACTTGTATCTAGCCTATATTATGTTCAAAATTATCGTTAACATCACATCAATAAATGAAACGAACATTATTTTGTAAAGACCTACATTTTAAAATGTTTGAAAATTTAGTTAATAGTTACATTTTGAAAGAGTTACATTTTTAAATTAAAATGTTCTTGCATACTTGACTGACTAAATGCAAAAAAATAAATAAATAAATAAAAATGAAATACCTTTGTATCTCACTTTTTGCTCGAATCAATGTCACGTAAAATTAAGCAGGCCTAAAAAATTTGTTTATATATGTGTAATGTTGGCCTATAATCATAAGATATTTAAAAAGTAGCTTATAACCAGTCTATTGTATGATACTGCTTGAAACATCATATCAAATGAGCATTTTCAGACCTGTTTGGTAAATGTTTTTTGTAATAGAATAAAAGTTTTCAGAACTACATTGTTTCTGTATTTTAAATTAACACAAATGGGCCTGGGCAGTCCATTTTAACTTTAAAGAGCTATAAAGAAAGATTTCAACCAAGATTATTTTTAGAAGGAACGAAATTAATCATTCAAATCCATGTAATACACATTTTAAGTCTGTTTTGACTAAGTCGATGCTTGAAAAAAAGCTGTAATTCGTTAAGATTATAAAAAAAACAACACTTTTTTCTTTTTTAAATGTAATTAAAAAAACTTTTAAATTTTATGTGTGAATGATTTTCATGTAAACTGCATTATAACAAATCTTAAGATTTTGTTTAGAGTTTCAAGTTGTGTTCCGGGCACCATTTTTGTTTATTAATTAATTTATTTTTTGAGTAATGATCGATATTTCTCTAAATAAATATAATAGGTTTTAATCTTGTAATTATCCGATTTTTGTCCCTATAATTTAGATGTTGAAGAAGGAGAGTTTGCAAGCTGCCTGAAAGAGATATACTCATTTCTATAATAGGATATCGACCAGTCTGGAGCAGATCCTCCACATTATCAGCGTCTTTACGCAGCAACTTGCGTTAAATTAAGCGCAATCGAATTGCCTTTAATTGTTTTTTCTTTAGATATGTTAGAGCTCTGTCTCGAGTCTAAATGGTGAAAATAGCAAGCACTGACTTCGTGGGCATCATCTTATCTATTGTGCCTGTATTTGCAAGGACAAATATGTGTCAACCCCTATGATTGATTGGAGGCTGAGCGCGAAAGCAATTTTCAATAAACAGTAATTGTAGGCTGCAATAATTTGATAAGGTTTGTGCTGTTTTTAACAGCCGCTTTAAATGGATGAGTAAATTGAGAGTTATCGATTAGACGGCCATGCTGTGATTTAAGATGTCAAGACGAATTGACACGCCAAAGGAAGTGTCATCTATTCAGTCGTCACTTCATAAAGAGAGGGAAAAGAGCGGACAGAACAGAAATATTACTTCAATTTAATGTGTAAAAATGTTGTCGTGTGTGGATATATTTTTTTAGATTTAAACTTTTTTTAGACCTATATATAAAAATACTTCAACATATTAAGCGAATAAAACTAAAGCTGTTTAAGCATCTGTAGCTATAGGCTATCTGTTAAATGTAAACAGCCTAAATTATTTCTGTGATAACCAATCAACAAATCTATGGTTTTCTTTTAATTCAAAATAATAGTTATAAAAAACAATAATGATTAGAAATGGAACTAGAACAAAACGAATGTATGATAACAAGAAACGAAATTTGCTGAAATATTTTCCCCTTTTCCCTTTTCATTAAATCTGTTTAAAACCTGTTGGTGACAGTAAACAAATATAAGTGTGTGGTATTAATTCACCTGTGCTTAAGAGTCATTTGTTGACGGCGGTCTATTGTGTTTCTACAGAGGATGGGTTCGTGTTCCGGTCAGATGAATGTGAGTCTGATTTCACCCGAGGGAATCAATCGGACAGTGAACTCCAGGAGGACCTATGCAGCGAAGAGAGCAGCGCCCTTACTGGAAACAACGATGCCGAGTTCGGACAACACGAGGATGACGACTCGATAAGCAAAAGTCCAGACGGACAGCAGACACAGCAGTCCTCGTCAAACGGACAGAATCACCAGGTGAAACCCAAACGGAAGCGCTCCGGGTCAGACTCAAAGTCTGGCAAACCCAGAAGAGCCCGGACTGCGTTCACGTACGAGCAGCTGGTGGCTTTGGAGAACAAGTTCAAGTCGACGCGGTACCTGTCCGTGTGCGAACGTCTCAACTTGGCGCTGTCCTTGAGCTTGACGGAGACTCAGGTGAAAATATGGTTTCAGAACCGCCGGACCAAGTGGAAGAAACAGAACCCGGGCGCGGACACGAGCGCGCCGACCAGCGGAGGTGGAGGCGGGAACGGACCGAGCAACGGGCTCGGCGGGCTGAGTCCCCTGAGCCCTTCTCCTCCTATGAGCGGCCATCTGTCCATGCACACCAGCTATCCGGGTCACACGCCCGGTGGACTTGTCTGCACCACGCAGTTACCATTTCTGCCGGGTCACGCGGTACTGTCACCCTTCATGCTGGGCTCACAGACTTACGGGGCGCCCACATTTTACGCGCCGCACTTATAAGAACAGAACTACGGGCAGGGTGGAGAAGTGTCTGGTCAAACCCGGGACAGAAACATTTTTAACTTGAAGCACTACGTCGACACACACCTGCAAAGACATTTGATAGGTTTGTCTCTGGAAAAGCGAAATGTATTTCAACCTTGCTGCACTGTGGCAAACCCAGAATTAAGTTTACGAATCATTCGGCAATACGTGCTAATAATTAGATTTGATTTCGATTTGATAAAATGTGAATATCTCTTGGTCAAACTGTAAATATTCAGTTATTATGAAGTGTTTAGACATTAACTTTGAATGCAAATGTAGTAGGGAATAAAATGGTATGTATTGAAGCAATGAATGAGAAAATTATTGGACTAATTTCGTGTACAAACATATAGGCCTAAAGAAAAGTTTATCTTGATTTTTTTTTACTGTGGGCCATATATTTATTTCTAAAGTTGCATAGACTATGCTTTTATTTAATTGTTTGTCTCACAATTAAAGGGTTGAAATAAAATGACAGGTAACAAAGATCAGTTGTCATCAGTTCCGTTGGCCAGGCTTTATGACAGAAATTCAGTGAACAGTATAAGGCTGATGTACTTGACCTTGCACCAAATATAGCCTAGTATTAAATCTGAATTTTATTCGTTAAATTTCGTTTTAAGGAATCACGAACAGGTGTTTTGGTCGTTTCTGTGTAGTAGAAAGTTTTTTTTTTACTAATTTGATACTCTCATATGTAAAGTCTGGTGAAATGACAAATAGTAGCTCATGGTTAATTCAGTAAAAAGTAAAAATATACATATATCCGCTGGATATCCTGTAAAAAATTATAGCCTACATTTATCCCTGTTGTTGTTTTAATAATTATTAATTCTTTTTCGTTTTTAAAAGTATTTTCGATAAACTAGCCGCTGTAATTGTAGTTAGGTGTAGAGATCTGGAGCGCTAATGAGACACAATTTCCTCTTTCAATCGATTTATTGATTTTATAGTTAACTATCAATAACAAGAACTTCAGAAAGGCATTTTAAAAGCACTAAAAAGTACGAAAATATCTGGATTGCATTTTTCATGTCATTGTTCGTTAAAAATTTTGAACAAAGCTGTAATATATTTATCTAATGTATTTGCAATTTGTGTGTTAGTGAAAGTCATCAAGACTAAATGTTTTAACACGGAATTAAATCGGTTAAAAATAATACGTCGATTAGCGCATGATTCTTAAGACTGAAATGTGGAGTTTGGGGCCACATTTGCTTGAATTCCAGCCTTTCCTATGAGGAAATTTTCAATAAATATTTTTTATATTTCGCTTCCTTAGTATTGTAATTACATGAACTATGACATTCACACCTTACATTTATTTAATACAAGATATTCATCAGGAAACATGTTAGTGATTGCAAATGTATGTCTTACAAATTCTACGAATTTGAAAGCTTATATCATTTTAATTACGTTTTGTAATTTTTATCACAGTTAGAATTTATGAAGAACTGTTTCTAATATTTCTGTACTCATAATAGTCGACGTTTTTTCCTGTGATTTGCTTTTGAAAGGACCATTAATTTCACGTTTTAAGCTATATGACAATATTTTGCCAAGACACGAAATAACTATCGCCTATCAATAGCAATCATTTTAAATACATGAACATTTTTGTCAAGGTATTCTTCTCCGACCGACAGTTTACTATTTCTAGGAATTTCGGTTTCCTGAATGTCCCTTAAACAGCAGAATAAATGCGGTCTCCAGCTTTAAAGCGTTTTACCAACGCGAGGAATTCATATTAGCTGATGATGGGGTTTCTTCTTTTTACAAGGAAAAATCATTTTCCACTTTTTTTATACTTGATGCAATAGTCACGTTCCTTTTTACCGGCTAACAGAATGTATTTGAACCATTTTATCATCGGCAGTGCTGTTTTCTACAAGTATCCTTATAATTCTTCTTAATTAAAAACAAATAGACAATTAAATAAACAAATAATAATAAAAACATATATACATCAGTACATTTTTCATCCTATTTTAATTAACTGCTTTAAAGAGTAAACAGCGTAACACCTATAAACATAATTTATAGATAAAATATAATAATGGTAGCACGTATAACAATATGTCACTCCTTATCATTAGTAGCCTAAATACATTTACATACAAAATTGTTGATGAAAATACTGCTCATTGTTATTAAACATTTACTCATTTAGTTAAATAATGTTAGCAAATGAAAATGTATTGTAAACTTTTACCATATTAATGACAATTTCTATCAATAAAAATGTGTAAAGTAACTACTTGGGGAAATTGCACGTTTATAGTGGAACTATTAAAGAACATTCAAACATCAAACATTGAAATTTAATCAATTTAAGGAAATCATGACTTACCTTTTCCTTTAATTATTTGTCAAATGTTTTTGATCTTCATGTCAAAATGAAAAGGACCAAAGTTATGTCTTAATAAAGCAAGTAGAAAATTTACTCCATTAATATGCAGGCATTACAGTTGACACAGATACATTGACAAAACCTACATTCATATTCAAAATTAGAATTCATTAAATACAAAAAGTAAAAAAAAATTGATTCAAATTCAAAATTTAAATCGTTATACACCTTGTACATACAAAGCAAATCATAAATAAATAAAAAAGCATTAAAATGATTTTAAAAAAATACAGTACTTCATTTGAGGCACAGTTAGCCTACATGTTGAGGTGAGCTTCAGTTTATTTTCTGTGGAATAATCCAAGCATTTGCATGTGGCAGTGCTGCTTTATCCTTTAATTCAGTGCGTAGTTGAACTGATTTGCAAACTTCTCATGCTTCCTCTTGTCCATCTTGTTCATGACTTCGGTAACTCGTCTCATAGAGCTCCTACAAGAAAACCATGAATGAGATTAAAATTCTTTGTTTACTAATCACTTACATGCATTTATTGACATAGTTCAACAAACTCAGTGATTTTATATTTGACACTTCTGAAAAAGTGATTAGTAAACCTGAGTAAACCTGTTGCCTTAAAATTAAGTTAAGCCACTGTGCAGTAACAGTTTTAAGTTTACTAATTTTTTAAAGTAAAGTCAACTTCTCGCTTTTAAGACAATGGGTTTACTCACTTTTTTAAAGGTATAGATCACCCAAAAATGAAAAAGATATTCTGAAGAATGCAAGCAGGGCTGCTGGGACCCATTGATTTCCATAGTATGAACAAAATACAAATTGATAACTAATAAAGACCACGGGTCTCAGCAACCAGCCTTTTTCAAAAAGTTTTTTTTTTTTTTTGTGTTCAACGGAAAAAAGAAACTCAAATAAGTTTTGAAGAAGTGAAGGGTGAGTAAATGATGACAGAATTTTCAAGCGTATTCAAGTAGCTAATGGACTTTTTAAAGTTTGTTACTTACTTGTTAAAGACTTTCTTCTCTAATCTGGAGCGAGAGGTATTGGCTTTTTGCTTCAGGTCTGTAAGGTTTGGGTATTTTTTCTTTGACTTTCCTTTGTTGCCCTTCTTCCCCTTCCCGTATGTCTTAGAGGAGCCCAGATCTTCTCCAGTGGCGGCTTCAATCTCCCTCATCAGCTCTGGGTCTCGCCAGTCTGAACCAATGGGAGAAAGATTCTGTGAAATTTCAACAATGCACCACACACTTCTGCCATACTTCATTACTTAAAATAGATCTAACTTTATATGCATTATTTATGTTTAAATGTTTTTTGTTAAACTTTATTTTCATTAACTATACTGAAAGTTCAAGTAATATGGTTTAAGTTCACAACTAAGATATATTTGTTCTGACCAATGTAAAATGTAAAGATTACTTACACAGGTCAGTACATGCGTATTAAACAGAAGCTCAGTTGTGCTTTAATGGACTTAAAAAATATTGTTTAAGGCAAATTATTTATTTATCATTGGCTCAAGTGATAAAATTTAGATGTGAAAACATAACCGTAAATCTTTTTAATTGGATGAATGTACATTTTATGGGAAATGTTGTTTTGATTAAAGCAATATCTTCTTGCTTATAACAAAAGAAAATGTAAATTAATTGACTTTTTTCAACAAGACATGTATTCTTTGTAACAGGTTATATAAAATTGTTCTCACAATAGAAATTATTGTTTAAGGCAAATTATTTATTTTTCGTTGGGTCAAGTGATAAAATTTTATGTGAACCATTACCCAAATTTTTTAAAAATAAGATAAATAAAATCTTTTTTCCAGTGTACCGCTAACAAATATGAATAAATGCTGCATTAAATGTATTGTTTAATTGTTTATCCAAATTAGTAAATACATTAACATTAACTGTATAAAAACATTGTAAATGTCATTGTATAAAAAATATACATTATTATTGTCAATAAAAAAAAAATTATATGTTGATGTAATGATACGATAATGATGATATGTTAATCGAAATTCATTCATTCAATCATTCATTTTCTTTTTGGCTTAGTCCCTTTATTAATATAGGGTCGCCACAGCGTTATGAACCACCAACTTATCCAGCACATTTTTATGCAGCGGATGCCCTTCCAGCCGCAACCCATCTTTGGGAAACATCCACACACACACTCATTCACCCTCATACACTACGGACAATTTAGCCTATACAATTGTCATGTCTTTGGACTGTGGGGGAAACCGGAGCACCCGGAGGAAACCCACGCAAATGCAGGGAGAACATGACTCCACACAGTCAACTCCACACAGAAACGCCAACTGAGCCAGCTGAGACTCGAACCAACGACCTTCTTGCTGTGAGGCGACAGCACTACCTACTGCGCCACTGCATCACGGTTAATCAAAATTATATAATGTTAATGTTACTTTAAATTATATTAAGTTTCAATGTAATTGTTTGTCATCTATTTTTTTTTACTTTTTTTAGATGTGTTTAATTTATATAAAGTGAAACAACTTGTAAAGTTAATTTGATTCAACGTAAAAATTGAAGGTAGCAACAAATTTAGTACATTGTTACCATGGTGATAACCTGCAATGGTATTACTGCGGTGAAATATATATATATATATTGTAACGAGCAATTATATGCCACGTCGCCCTGGTCGCAAATTGCACCCAGCTGGACCTTCATCAAGCCAGGATCGTACACAGCTGGAGCACATCAAGCGGAGAGACATATAAGCCCAACCTACGCCAGGAGAAGATGAGCTTCATTCCTTCTATGACTCCCTGTGCTAATGCTTGTCTCTCTGTCTCTCCTTAGCGGACTCCAGCTCGTGACGATCCTGCACCCGACTACTCACCGTCCTTCACCTACTTCCCGGAGCACCAGAGCACCTCACCCTAAAGAAGAGCACCTTTTACAGCACATTCACTTTGTAAATAAAGCACCCTCCGGGGACTTGTCTGTAAACTCATCCTGTTGTGCCGCTGTTTTCCCTCTGCCTCGCTACAACTGGTGGAGAATGCGCGCTTTTTCAGAGGGAAAAAAATTCAGCACTTACCAGTAAGAAGAAGTAACCACTGAATTTTCTCTGTTTTTCTTCTGTTTACAGACAGGCATCCGCTCTCTCTCTCACTCACGCTCTCTTACTCGGCTGTCATCCCCTCCTGAGTCATGTCGATCGAAGAGGTAGTACGCCATCTAGCGGAAATCTCAAGAAGACAACAAGTGATAACTGAACAACTCACCGCCAGACAAGACCGTATGGAACAACAGCTCCGCCAAGTGGCCGGTTCCAGCCAGTTCTCTGAGGTGAGCGCCCATAGATTTATCACAAAACTCAGCGACCTGGATGATATTGATGCTTACCTGCACACCTTTGAGGTAATTGCGGAAAGAGAGAGATGGCCGAAGGAAAGTTGGGCGAGGATGCTAGCGCCATTCCTGACTGGAGAAGCTCAAAGAGCTTATTTCGCATTAGAGACACCGAAAAACGACGACTATAAAGCATTGAAAAAGGAGATACTCGCCAGAATGGGACTCTCCAACATAAGCGCAGCACAACAATTTTCTCAGTGGTCATATGACGACAAACAGCCGGTTCGGACTCAAGCAGCCAACTTATCCAGATTGGGAAGATTATGGTTGCTGGGAGGAGATCCAACCGCAGTCCAGGTCGCTGAGAAAGTTGTCATTGAAAAAATGATGAGGGCGCTACCCAAACGGCTCCGCACACTTACCAGCATGAGGAACCCCGACTCGCTGGCCGCTTTGGTGGAGGCGGTGGAGCTGGCGGAAGCTCACGTGGCCCGGGAGACTGGGGAGAGAGCGGCTCTGCCACCCCGGAGGGTAAATGCGCCATGGCGACCGGTGGAGGGCACAACAAGACCAGGCAGCAGACCGGCGGTCCCCAGCCCAGTCGACGAGCCGATGCCCACAGAGCCAACATCTCACTCGACCCCGGCCTGGATGGCAGGGTGCGTGGTACATCGCAACGTCCCTCCCGAAGCTCCCACCCGTAAAGTATGCATAGACGGGAAAACACAGACGGCCACATTGGATACAGGAAGTGCAATAACCCTGGTTCATCCAAAAACATTAAAATATCATCAGGAAGGAAAAAGCCGAATCCCGATTACATGCGTACACGGGGATACCCGCCACGTACCATCCCAAAAAGTCACCATAGCGACGAAGTCGGGAAGCTGGCGCATCGAAGTAGGAGTGGTTCCAGATCTTCCAGTACCCCTTCTTCTGGGTAGAGACTGGCCGGGGTTCGATGATCTCCTCACCCACCATCAGGCTCGATCGGCTCGGGCAAAGAAGAACAGCAAGGGACGGGCTCAACGGGACCGCCAAACAGCGCTGATGGCCACCGAGAGCGACAGAGGGGGTGAGTCATCATCGGCTAACCTGTACTATGATCTTTTTCAACAGATTACCGCAGGTGGCGATTTCGGGAGAGCACAACGTGAAGACGAAACGTTGAAGCACTGCTGGCCACAAGTCCGGATCATAGACGGTAACGAACGGTTTCCCAGCCCTCACCCCCTCCCACATTTTATTGTTCAAAATGGTCTGCTGTACTGTGTCGCAGAGAGGCGGGGGGAAACGAAGACGCTATTGGTCGTCCCAAGGACCAAAAGGGAGACTGTTCTGGAACTGGCACATACTCACCCGATGGCAGGACATCTAGGAGCAGCCAACACGATCAAGAGGATCAGAGATCGTTTCCATTGGCCCGGGTTGGATGGAGAAGTTAAGAGGTATTGTCAGGCATGCGACATCTGCCAAAGAACGTCTCCCCAACGACCACCCCCCAGCCCTCTGATACCATTACCCATCATTGAGGTGCCCTTCAACCGCATTGGCATGGACTTGATAGGGCCTTTGCCGAAGTCGGCCCGGGGACATGAACACATCCTTGTCATCCTCGACTACGCCACCAGATATCCAGAAGCGATACCTCTGAGAAAAGCCACGTCATCGGCAATCGCTAAAGAGCTGTTTTTATTGTGCAGCCGAGTAGGAATACCAGCAGAGATACTGACCGACCAGGGCACCCCATTCATGTCCCGGTTGATGGCAGACCTCTGCCGCCTCCTAAAGGTAAAGCAAATAAAAACCTCTGTTTATCATCCGCAGACTGATGGCTTGGTGGAGCGCTTTAACAAGACGCTGAAGCAGATGCTCCGCAGGGTGGTGGCAGAGGATGGGCGCGACTGGGACCTCATGATCCCGTACGTGCTTTTCGGGATCAGAGAAGTTCCCCAAGGATCTACAGGTTTTACACCTTTTGAATTGCTGTTCGGCCGTCAACCACGAGGGCTATTGGACGTGGCTCGTCAAGCTTGGGAGCAAGAGCCAGCCCCACAACGGTCAGTGATTGAGCACGTACGGGACATGAGAGGACGTATAGAGAAAGTCATGCCCATTGTCAAGCAACATCTGACCGAAGCCCAGCGCGCCCAACAGCGATTATATAACCGGCCCGCCCAACCCAGAGAGTTCCAACCAGGGGACAAAGTAATGATCCTGATACCTACCACCACTTCGAAGTTCTTGGCCTCTTGGAAGGGGCCATATACAGTGGTAGAAAGGGTAGGGCCGGTAAACTATCGAGTCCGTCAGCCGGGACGAAGAAGAGAAGAACAACTTTACCACATCAATTTGATGAAGAAATGGGTTGCAGCTCCAGGTCATCTAGTTGCCTTCTCAGAAGAAACTTCTCCCGTTGTCCATATAGGTGAGCAACTCTCACCGAATCAGAAGGCGGAGCTGCAAGCCTTGGTCGGTCAGTTCAGGGATGTGTTCTCAGAGAAACCGGGCCGAACCACCATCATCCAGCACGACATCATCACCCCACCTGGCACCATCGTCCGGCAGAGGCCTTATCGAGTACCAGAAGCTCGCCGGCTGGCTATCAACGATGAGATCCAAAAGATGAGGAAATTGGGAATCATCGAACCATCTCGTAGCCCGTGGTCCAGCCCCATAGTGATGGTCCCCAAACCCGACGGCACCCTCCGCTTCTGCAATGACTTCAGAAAGCTGAACGAAATTTCCAAATTCGACGGGTACCCCATGCCTCGGGTGGACGAGCTGCTGGATCGGCTGGGTGGAGCCCGATTCATATCCACGATCGACCTCACCAAAGGCTACTGGCAACTACCACTAAGTGAA